AACATGTCAAGGATTGATGTATTTTGCTTAAAGTCTATTTTTTTTTAACAAAATTGCATGGTATTTCAAGGTGATGTGTTGAATCCTGTGAGACTCTTGAAACATGGTTATTAAGAGCTGATTTGGGCCAGGATATTCAAGGATTTCACCTGTTTTCCTGAAAGCTTCTCCCTAATCTACTTAGTATCCAAAACAGCCTCTTCTGAACTACATTTAAAAATCATGGTCCTTATTTATTTTCTTCTCTTTCAATTATGAATTATCCTACTGGATTGATGTTTTCAATTGTGTGTGCTCGCTTCCTGATACCCTGCATTTTATATAAGGTGTGTAGCTTTACATGGTAATAAACTAATATTGAATTGCTAGGTGATGTTTGATGACCTAGAAGCCTTAAAATGAACAGATGGGTGGTAGTGCATACCTAAGAGGGTCGCTAAAATGGAGACTGACAGGAAGTGGTCAGTTCACGAGCAAACAACATAGCTTTTGCATTCCTAGGAAGTCCCGAAACCTTTCTACTGCTGGGGCTAAGATAGCATCTGCTCAGAAATGAGCTCCCCGCATCAGCAAAATAGTGCAGCATTTGAATCCTGATGGCAGTGACTCATTAATGGAGCATTATAACTTAATGGACTGCAACGGTGACATATATATATATTATCATATATATAGTATCTATGGTATATATGTATGTGAGATCTACATATGAGAATTGCATGAAATCTGTTTTGGTGGAGTCTGGTGTACTTGTGAGTACTACGTCATAGTGCAAAATGTCGTGCCACTATAGAATGGAACGACTGTGAACCCTGAAGACCTGGATGTAATCCAGGCTCTGCCACTTGGTAGGTGTGTGTAATCTCGGGGTTATTTCAGGAAAGTGTGAGCAGAAGCACAGAGACAGAAAAGTCGTGGGGACTGGTGAGGCGTGGGTTCCTGCAGACCAGTGGCCAGAGAGAGGGACTGGGAGGATCTTTATATGCCAAATTAAATAGCTTGGACTTTGTCAACTTGGTCCTTTTGGTTCTTAATTGTCTTTGTCCTTGAACCCCTCAGAAAGTCTAGTGAAAGCAGTTTCTTTGTCCTTAGAAAATGTACACCGCACAAACTTTTCCTTATAATTTCAGAAAGTTTCCTAAAAACCTGTTCTGGATGCCAGGCGAAGAACCCTCACTTCAGACACTGAAGAGTCACTGCAAGGAATTTAGCCAAGAGTTACATCTCTGTCAGATTTGTACCTTAGAAATAGGACTCTAACTGTAGTTGGCAGATAAATTCAGGGAGAGAGGCTGTGAGTCTGGAAATCTGTTAGGGCTTGCGATGATCATCTACCTTAGAGTAGATGAAAGCGATAGTGATGCGCTTAGAGAGGAAACACGGTCCAGAGCCATCTGGTAGCAGAACAGATAGGAATGTGACCAGTTAGATAGAAATGACATAGAAGAGGTGGGTGGCATGGACTTTGTGTGCAGATGACTCAGCTGTTGAGGTACATGAGGATTAATGTGCTTATGTCTTATTGATAGTATCTGTTATAGAGCTGGGAATAGGACACAGCCCTGGGCTTTCTTTATCTTTAGTATGCGTACAGGCTATCGGGAGATTGTTAAAATACAAACTTTGGTTCAAGAGGTCTGGGACAGAACCTGGGAAACTACATTGACAGAAACTCTCAGTGATGTTGTCCACCACTAGTCTATAGACCATACTAATAACAGCAAGAGACAGGATGGAGCTCAGGAAAAACATCTTCAGTGAAACGATAGACTCGGACTTAATAGCATCATAGGTGGTTATTAAAACTAAGGAAATAGACCTAGGCTCCTGGAAAGAATACATAGACTAGTAGGATATAAAACAAATATTGACCCTTGTGGAATGGCAGTTATTAAAGGGAATGTGGAAACTGAGGTTTCTCAGTGTAGAGTGCAGGGTTACCATGTCTGGGGCTTTGGACTCCATCCCCAGAAGATGAATAGACAGACAGACACACACACACACACACACACACAGACACACACACACACACAGAGTGGGGGTATTGGGGGAGGCATAAAAGACTATGGATTTTTGAGAAGGCGTGGTGCAGGCGGGTGGATCTCTGTGAATTCAAGGCCAGCCTAGTCTACAGAGGGAGTTTCAGGATAGCTAGGGCAACACCAAGAAACCCTGGAGAGAGACGGGGGAGGGAGGGAGAGAGGAAGAGGGAAGGAGGGAGGAAGGGACAGAGAGAGAGAGACAGAGAGAGACAGAGACAGAGAGAGAGAGAGAGAAGGAGAAGATAGGAAGTCTCAAGAATGACTTTCACCACAGAAACCCAACGGTGAAAATGAGCCACAAAAAGACCCACTGGAGTAGCCATGTTTGACCCTGTTTCGCATACATTCGCCACATGGCTGATGGTGCCCCAGAGGAGCAAAAATGTATTACTGAAGGTGAAATAACTTTAATGTTATAGTAATTTATGGTCCTCCAAAGGGAATCGGTACATAAACAGATGTACAGTGTGTCTATGGCATTACAATTTCATGGCAGGAGGAGATGATTAAGAAAAGCCATCTTAAAGGGATCCTTGAGTGGGAGGCAGGCAGGATAATGAGGAAACGGTTGAGAAGAAGCAGTACTGTACTGCAGAGAAGAACTGGAGCGCGCTAGATGAAGCTTCAGAGGGTGAGAAGGGCTGGGCTGGGCATCCAAAGAGGTGGGCAGAGGGGGTGGCAGAAAGCCACACCAGCATTTACAGAGGCAGAGCAGCATAGAATATGGGGTGAAAATCAACATCAAGTCAAATGTGAAGCAGCACCCACAAGAGCAGGGAGGCCTCAGGAACAACTTACAGCTCAGTATTGCTGGGGGGCTATGGTGTAAATGGACAATGGCAGAAGATGAGGTAGAAATAGAGGGAGATGGTCGTGAAGGCCTTAACATATATCACCAGCACACAGGTGAACAGTGCTACTTTTGCCAGGGAAAATCACCCCTGGTGACACAAACCAGTAATCTCAGCTATTTGGGAGGCCAGGGCAGGAAGTCTGCAAGTTCAAGACCTGCCTGGGCTGTCGTCACAGATGAGTGTGGCAGGAATGTGGGGGTTACTACCGGCAAGGGGAGAGGGAGGCCTGCCTGGCTGCCTGCTTCTGTGCGAAATGACTCGCCTTTCTATTTCATTTGCCCATGAACTTTTTTGAGTCGCTGGATTCTTCTAAGGTCAGTCCAACAGGAAGTCACTTTGTCTTATCCAGAATTTCTTAAAATGAAACTCACCCTACCCTTGTAAACAATGCTAGAGGATTATTAGAACCTGCCACAGGACAGTGACTCATCTTCCTAGACTTGTCTAGATGGCATTGGGATGGTCCCTTTGGCTAGTCCTCATCCCTTCACCTCTCCGGTGTGTCTTTCTGTGTCTGGTTCTAAATTTCGGCTCGAGATGTCTTTCCTCATCTTGTTCTGACAGTGCGCTTAAGACACCACGCCTCCAGCTCAGCCACATTTTTCTTCAGCCCTCAATTCTGTCGTCTTCCCTCTTACTGCGTGACACTGCAGCCTTCCACCTGGTCACATAGACATCTTTGCCTCCTCCCTTGGAGGAAAAGAGATCATTGTCCCCACCTGGGCTGGATGTTGTTTTTTCTGCATGTTCCACCTGGGGGCAGTGAATGATTGAGTTAGAAGGCTTTGTCTTGTGTGGTGTGGCAAGCTACACAGGGCTGTGCAGAGCGAGACTTCTAGCTCGTACTTACTATCGAGTTAAGTTCAAGCTGCAGGAGTTGGAGTCCCAGTAGCCCCATCTTTTGACGCATCAAATGGAGTGAATCAAAGTGACTGTACTACAGTTCCAATTCCCCGAAGAGCTCCGTACATAGCAGAACTTGTTACCATGGCAGCCAAACGTCCTCCTCCATCCACCCATCCTCAGCTCCAGCCTTACCAACATGGAGATGACTGCATGAAAAGGAGACCTGGATACCAAGGCAGTCATGTCATCTCACCACCAAGGCAGACGGCTCATTTCATCCACGGATGGCATGTCCTTGTCCCTTGCCGCTCAGTCTTTTCCCATGCTGGCACCTGCAGAACTGGCACATTACCAGGGAAATCAGTGGGCAGCCTGGACTGTTCTGTTGATACAGGTCCAACTGATAAAGGACCAGTCTCTCCATAACAAAGCTGTCACCTGGCCACCAGAACAGCAACCCCCTCCCCAAGACATGCTTTGTCCCTACGGCACTCTCCCCTATCCTCCAGTGGATGAGGTACGTTCCTGTAGTCCTTAGAGAACCGGGACAGGCACTATATCATAGTGGATCCAAGTTTCACCAATCCTGAACGCAGCACCCAAGAATGCTCAGCCATCCCAAGCTTCACTAATTCTTAGATCCATCAATTACTACCGCTCTGGGCCTCCGTGTCCTCATTAACTGCAAGGAGTAATAATATCCACTTCATAGGATTATGAGGATTAAATGTGATAATCACATTAAAGAACATATCAAAGATCATGGCATGTAATAAGTATTTGATAAAAGTCATTTATCATGCCCACACTGGATTCTCCTCAGGCATCTCAGGCAAACCCTCAGACAAAGTCCTTGGTCCAACAGCTCTAACTGCTTGTGCAGCTGAAATCAGGTTGGGGAACACTTGCATTTTCTCTTTGTGTTTATACCACCTCTGGCTGAAATTAGACTATTTTCCTACCCGTATCAGAATTTTACTTCAGGGTTTGGCAACCAGCAACTCTCATATTCCATGCCTACTATGACAGAGAACCCCCTACTATTACAGAGAATCCCCTACTATTACAGAGAACCCCCTACTACTAGAGAGAACCCCCTACTATTAGAGAGAATCCCCTACTATTACAGAGAACCCCCTACTATTACAGAGAACCCCCTACTATTACAGAGAATCAACCAGCCTCTCACTCTACTACAATCCAAACCATTCCTTTGAAGCAAATAAAGAAATTACCTATCAGTATTCTAAGAGGCGTCCTATAATTCACAATAGCAATGATTTAGAAGTCTTGATAGTCAAGATTTACCAGCGAAGGTGCTCTCTGAGCTTCATATCAAGGCATTCTATAAAACCAAAGTTTGCCCAGGATCTTGGAGTATTTTCATCAGATACTCGATCTCTTCACCTTAGCCTTGAGTTGCTTTTGGGAAAGAAAAAAAATGGGGAGTCTTTCCATCGAAATGACCCTCTCAGTGTAATTACTATCCAGAAAACCCTTTGCATTGATCTGGAACTTTCTGATCAATTCAAAAGTTGATGCCCTTCACAGACCTTATCTAGATAAAGAAAGGCAGTGAATAGGAGATTCCTCTAAGGCACTCCTGCCTCCCTCCAGCAAATTAGATGTTGAGCCCTCTTAGAGGAGGTATGATTCCCTTGGCAGTGTTTTTACAAATTCACCTAATGCGATGCTAGGCTCTTGGGATAGGTGCTAATGCAGTGATTACAGTGGTACTTTTTACGGGCTCAGGCCATAGAAATGAACATAGTGCCTCCAAACTACATTTGTGTGTGTGTGTGTGTGTGTGTGTGTGTACACCAGAGTTTGCATGAGCTAAATGTTAACTTTTGTGAAATGAAGTTTCCTAGGTGACTGAAAACATCAGCAGCTCCATGATACCTCTGCATCTTTTTTTTTTAAAAAAGATTTATTTATTTATTATGTACTCTGTGTTCTGGCCTGCATATATGGCTACAAGCCAGAAGAGGGCGCCAGATCTCATTACAGATGGTTGTGAGCCACCATGTAGTTGCTGGGAATTGAACTTAGGACCTCTGGAAGAACAGCCAGTGCACTTAACCACGGAGCCATCTCTCCAGCCCCCTACCTCTGCATCTTTATCACCCCCAGTATCCATCCTCTTAAGATAAAGTTATTTAGTCCTCAAGCGCGCGCGCACACACACACACACACACACACACACACACACACACACACACACAACCTTCCAGTACCGTAAAGCCTCCATTTACTTCTACTCAAGCTTAGGCCTGTGTGGTGGTTTGAATGAGCATGGCCCCCTTAAACTCATATGTTTGAATACTTGGTAGAACTGTTTACAAACTATTAAAAGGTGTGGCCTCGTTAGAAGAGACATGACATTGGGGGCAGGCTTTGAGATTTCAAAAGCCCATGCCATTCCTAGATTATTGTCTAATGCTTGTAGATCAGATGTCAGCTCTCAGCCACTGCTCCAGCGCCATGCCTGCCTGCCTGCTGCCGTGCTCCCTGCCATAGCCCTCTAGAACAGTGTGCTCCACATTAAATGCTTTATAAGTTGCCTCTGTAATGGCATCTTACTATGGCAATTGAAAAGTAGCCAAGACAGCCTGCAATCTTGACTAATGTCATCAACTTTCAGGGGTAGGGGTACTGTCCTGTCCTAGAAGGAGCAGGGTATTTTGATCCCTGCCCTGTACCAATTCTTTAGGAAGCTGATCCCAACCAAGGTCTATTGCTCCAAATGATAACCAGAGCTCTTAGTGATCAAGGCCACTTGGAAGCTAGGGGGTGCTTCCTTAAAGGGAAAGAGGCAGCATGTTATTAGGTGCTCTGGAGTAGCCAGAGCAGACTTGGAGACTATAGATTATCAGGAGGCAATGGAAATGGTTCCAGACCAATATTGTAACCTCTAGCAACAGCATAGACAGCAGGCAGATGATAGAGTACACAAAGATTCAAGTTGCTCGTGGTACAGCCCAAAGCTTTATGTTCCTAGATGTACCATGCCCATTGGTTCCTCTTCCAACAAGGCCCACACAGCCTATTCATACTTTACATATAATCTGATGGAGTATCAGCAAACTACCTGCACGTTAGTCCCCAACTGAAGAGTACCAAATCAGACCTTCTAGGGCTGTAACATAAACATATTCATTTGGAACCAGTTTCTGTCCAGGTTCTTGAGGCTCAAAAATTTGAGTACTCTGTGCCCAGAGGATCTTTTATCTGCCTTGCATCTGGCCTCACCTCTTGTGTGCCTCTGCTACCCTTCCAGTTGAGATAACGCAGACTAAGGTAACCTCCAGGCCCTTCGAATGTGGTTAGAACAAACTGCACTGAAGGTTTTTTTTCTCCTCCCTCATCTGTAACTTCTTCACTGGGGTACCCCTCTTACTGTTTGCCCAGAACATGCTAGGTGCTGCCACCCTCTTCACCTGAGAGGTCTTCCCCTTTGACCACAGCCAGGGCACAGCTCTGCAGCCTCAGCCACAGGAGTCAGCGGGTACACCCAACACAGTGATCAGACTCTAGAATCCATCCCTACCAACTCACCCTAGCACGCGTCCCCAGCATACCGAGGGTTTGTAAGTTCCTAGACAACTCGTGTGTGGAATCCCCAAGGACACATTCAGTCGGTCCTCACCAACAAGGCATTAGCTTTAAATATCTCAATATTTTTAAATATATCGATCTCAGCACTGTCAGTCTATATTGACCCTGAACAGCTTAGACATTCTTTCCTGTTTCCTCACATATAAACGGTGATGATAATAGTACCTATCTCATGAAGCAGGTGCTTTTTTTTCTTTTCAAGACAGTGTTTCTCTGTGTATAGCTTTGCACCTTTCCTGGATCTCACTCTGTAGGCCAGGCTGGCCTCAAACTCACAGAGATCTGCCTGCCTCTGCCTCCCAAGTGCTGGGATTGAGGGTGTGCGCCCCCACCGCCTGGCTTATCAGTTGTATTTTAAAGGACATTACACAGAGCATATAAAGAACAGCCACACCTCATACATACTAAACACCAGAAAGCGTGTGCTGTTAAGTTGTATATGAATTCTGCTAACTGGAGTTTCTAGCTGTGCGATGCCAGTTAGATTGCCTTTCGGCACAGATCCGTTCCTCTAGGCCAAACATGAAGGACTCTTGCCCAGACATCTTTGAAATGAATTTTAGTCATCTACCCCCTGCCCTCCCACATCAGAACAACTCCTTTAACTTTGTGCCCTTCTCCTCCATGGTCACCCTTCTTACCTGTCACAATGCCGTGGTGTAGTTCCGCTACATTGTACTGCAATGAGCTCCAATCACTAAAACCTGAGAGAGACCAATTATTTTTCTTATTCATTTGTTTGTTTATTTTACTAGAATACTGAGAGAATAGTTGTATCATCAAAGAGAGCCAGATTTCTAGGAGGTTCCCAGTTGGCCTACTGCCTGATTCACTGGCAGGGTTGTTGACCAAGAACTAGTTTGGTGGACCCCAGGGGACACTGTTCTGATAATCCTATCACAGCTACGCTCACCCCAATCAACTTGGCACTCTCTCAAGTGTGAGTCTGGTATTCACTTCATTTAAGTCCCAAGTACCAGGACTGGGAGTGAATTATACTCTTGCTTGGGCCCTCTCCCTTCCTCCACCCCTACTTCCTGCCCCTGGAAGGAGCAGCTGGGCCACTCTGTCCATCCCGCCCGGTGAAGGCAGAAAGATCACCCTGTTCTTCGCAGTGGCCAGCTCAGAGGTCATGCAAGCAGGAGCATGGAGAGCAACAACAGATGTGGACAGGGAAGCCAGTGCTGGAGAGCAGGCTTGGAGCCATCGCCAGGAGAACTCGGTGATTGAGCCAGGCTTGCTGGCTCATGCTTCTCATCACAGTATGGGGGGATAGAGGCAGGAAGATTGCCATGCGGGGACACCAGCCTGGGATATGTAGCAAATAAATAACCCTTGGTGATTAATTGGCTGCTGCGGGTAAAAAGGGGGGGGGGATGTCAAAAATATCCAGCTCCCTGCCTAAGTAGGTGGAAAATGGTGTTTTCAGCTGAAACTGGGAACAGTGATCACAAAGCACATGGAAGCTAAGGTGATGGTTCAGTGGATAAAGCACTTGGTGCCAAACATGAGGGAAAAGGTTCAGATCCTCGGGAGCCATCTAAATACCAGGGGGTGTGGCAGCCTTTCTGTAAATCCAGTGCTCAGAAGGTAGAGACGGGATCCGAGGAGCAAGTTGGCTAGCCTGCATCAGTGAGCTCTGGGTTCAATTACGAGACCTCACCTCGATGAATAAGGTGGAGAACAGTGAGGAAGACTTCAGATGTCAACCTTGGACCTCCATGCATGTTGTCCACACACATGCATACACACACACTTACACATCAAAATAGAGAGGTACTGTCATGGTTAATGTTTTAACATGTATCAATTTGACAGGACCTAGAATCATCTGGGAGATGCGCCTCTGGCGTGCCTGTGTCGGGTTATCCTGATTACACTAATTGATGTAGGAAGACCTGTCATAATTGTGAACAGAACTTTCCCAGAGGATCTTGGACTTGGATAGACGTGGAGAACAGGACCTAGGGAGCAGCACGTATTCATTCCCCTTCTGATGGGATGTAAGGGGACTAGCTAGCTGCTTCAAGCTCCTCATGCCTTGGCTTTCTTTCCCACCTCCCACCGTGACGAACTATAACCTGGAATGGCAAGCTAAATGTTATGTTGCTTTTGTCAGAGTATTCTATCACAGCATCAGGAAAAGAAACTGAGGCAGAAGCTGGTACCAGGAGATGCTTCGTTGCTGGGATAAACCTGACTGCTTGGTTCTTGGGCCTTTGGAACTGGAGCTGTAGTGTGGACAAGTTTGGTGCTCTGGGCTTACGAAGGCCATTGAACACTGGAAGTCGAACTTATTGGGCTGTTCTGGGAGGAACTCAGAAGACAAGAATGCTAGGAGAAATGTGTACTAGGAAGGCCTGGGTCATGAAGTTTCAGAGGGGAACAAAGACTGTCTGTAACCCAGATAGAGTCCATTTGTGTGATATTTTCGTCAAGTATCTGGCTTCATTCTGCCTGTGGCCTGAAAGCTGCAGTGAAGTTGAATTTAAAGATAATGTGCTGCCGGGCGGTGGTGGCGCACGCCTTTAATCCCAGCACTCGGGAGGCAGAGCCAAGTGGATCTCTGTGAGTTCGAGGCCAGCCTGGGCTACCAAGTGAGTCCCAGGACAGGCTCCAAAGCTACACAGAGAAACCCTGTCTTGAAAAACCAAAACTAAATAAATAGATAGATAGATAGATAGATAGATAGATAGATAGGTAGGTAGATAGATGGATGGATGGATAGATAGATAGATAGATGTACTAATTGATTTGTTTGACAGGTTGGTGCTGAAAAGGCAGCAGTAGTTATTAAATGTAACTAGATCGGCACTACTGAAGAGAAACCTCCTCTACTGTACTGAGATAATAGGAAAGGTGTCCCAAAGGGACCCTAAGCTGGGAGAGTCCCCCGATCCTCAGAAGTGACTGCCTAGGCAAGTATTTCCCCAGGAAAAGGACTTAGGACAGAGAATGGTCACATGTAAATTGATTGCTGGGTATCAGGCCGACAATGTCAGTATGTCCAAAGTAAAACTACCCCATCCTTGAGGCCACTGAAGCCGCTATGTTGGCAGGCTCATTCTTGACTCTTTCTGTCCATGGTTCTGTGGGGCCTTCCTGTCCATGCCTGCAGCTTCACTGCCTACAGCTGTACCCAGCATATAGCAAATCCCCAGGGACAATTTGGGGGGCGCGCGGCGGCGGGGGGGGGGACACGGACAAATGAGTGTGAAAGTTGGAATAGATGTCAGAAAGACAAAAGTAGGAAATAATGATTTCCAGCCGTTGGTGTGCGTGTTCCTCATGGTCCTACCAATCAACCTATTGCTTGTCAATGCTAAGAAATAGAAACTCAAGTCAACTGGTAAGACTGGCAAATGCCTTATCAAGGTAGGCTCTCAATATGTGTTGACTGAATCAATGGCAATCTCTTAACAGACTGAATGAAATTATGAGAGCAGAGAGAGTGGGGAGGGGAGGGGAGGGGTGAAAGAGAGATTAGTGTAATCCCAAAGTTAGATAAGCAGTCTGAGTGTAGTTGAGTTTATCAAACATTAACTGGCTGAGCTGTTATATAAGGATTGCATTTTAATCAAGCAACCACTAGAGGGAGCGCAAGGTTAAGCAAGAATGTTCTCAATGAAATTATACTAGTCATTCACTTTTCTATTTATTGATCCAGTCTTCATCGAAAGTCATTCATCAGTTTAGTGTTCTCCTGAACTGATTTACTTCATGTGTCTTTAATAAGTATTTATGATTTGAATGGCAGGATGAGTGTTTAGAATCGACACACTGTCACCTTGAAATCTGTTTGACTAATGAACTGTGGTCAGAATTCCCTTGAGAATTCATCCTTCAGAGTTCATAAACTACTGATAAACATGACATTCATGGTACTTGGGTCCTAAAGACTCATCCGGCGAGAAGAGCAATAGTCATGGAGTTGGTCCTGCTTTAGTCCTGTAAGTGCTAGTGTCCGACCAACCGCAGGGTAAGTTGGGCACTTGGGCTGAGAATCTTGAAAGCTGGACTGGCCCTGTGCACCCTCCTTCCGCCTCCCCGAGGGCTGCCAGCTGATCAAGGCCCTGACCCCCTGAGCTTGTTTGATTCCATGGAAATTATTAGCTCTACCTCTGCACACAGAGATCGCACTGCCCGAGAAGCCTGCTGTCTACAATGCGCCTCAGGGCGAGAGTTGCCTGGGATGAGCAAAGTTGAACAGCCTGCTCTGTTGTTGTCTTCACAATCATTGAAGGGATTTCGTTTCTGCATTTGTGGCTATCTGAGCTGGGTTCCCGAGGAATGTACAGTCCTTGACCTGTTGGCATCTCATGGCTGAAGTCTTTCATTGCCCTTAATCTAGGCCTAGGAGTTAAGCCCTCAGTCTTGTGGATTTTCATTAATAGACTAATTTCAATTGGGCTACGAAATAGAACTTTTTTTTTTTCTGAGACAGGGTTTCTCTGTGTGGTTTTGGTGCCTGTCCTGGATCTTGCTCTGTAGACCAGGCTGGCCTGGAACTCACAGAGATCCACCTGCCTCTGCCTCCTGAGTGCTGGGATTAAAGGTGTGCACCACCACCACCTGGCAAGAAATAGAACTTTTTAATAAACTTTACCTACTAGAAAAATATTTTGAAAATGAACAGCTAGTAAGAGTTCCTGTGCACGCCAGTTTCCTCTGCTCTTCCCATCGTACACAAGCATGGTACACTTGGTACAGCTAAGGAACAATACTAATGCATGCATCTCTGTTCCCTGAAGTCTGGAGTTTATTCAGACTTCAGCTCACCTTCCCTTGTGGCCTTTTTCTTCTGGTACTAGGAGCCCATTCAGGCTCCCATACATTTAGTCATCAGGTCTGCCCAGGTTGTGAACACTTCTCAGACTTGGTTTTCATGATTTTCAGTTTCCAGAAGTACCGGTTATGATCTTCAGTGTGGTGTATCTTTTATTTTATTTTATTTTTTTATTAAATATCTTATCTATTTTACTAGTCAATTTAGTGGAAATTTTTCGTTTTGTTTTGTTTTGAGACAGGGTTTCTCTGGGTAGCCTTGGCTGTCCTGGAACTTACTCTGTAGACCAGGCTGGCCTTGAACTCATAGAGATTTGCCTGCCTCTGCCTCCCAAGTGCTGGAATTAAAGGTGTACACCACCCCTGCCTGGCAAAAATTGTATAGCCCAAACTGACCTTGAATTCCAGATCTTCCTGCCTCTGCCTCCTTCAGCATATCCTACTGGCCTGCACCACCAGAGCCGGCTGGAATCCTTTCAAGGAGACTGAGAAATACAACTATTCTTTTTTTTTCTTAGCACCTCTTTTTTAATTTTAATTTTTTTCTCCAGCATCTATTTTTATTTTAATTCTGAACAGTTCCTGAATCTGCTCCTTGCAAAAGGAGGATGACTATCCCTACATTTGTGATTTTTAATCCAGTGTTTAATTTTCAACTCTAGAGAAAGCCTTTTCATCATCCAGAGTCTGCAAACTCATGCTATCACCTTGTCTCAGGAAACTTAAATGGAAATTGTACATACATACTCAAAATATGTATCTGTAATTTGTTGACCTTTTACTTTCTAGTTTTTTCTAATGTCATAGTAGTAAGAACCCTCATTTTCTTTCTTAGGTTTTGTTGTTGTTGTTGTTGTTGTTGTTTTGTTTTTTTGAGACAGGGTTTCTCTGTGTAGCTTTGGAGCCTGTCCTGGATCTC